CTATAACCAGGGTGATAGCCCAGCACAGCTGAGTGACTGACAAGGCAATAACGTTCATCGAGCAAACTGGCATTCCCTTCCTAACTGGGTTAAAAGGTGTAAGATCCCATAATCAGCCATTCTCAGCCTTCTGTTTTGTCCTAGAATCCCACCAGGGGTGGGGGGGGGGAGAAAGAGGAGGAGACCTACATTGCATCAGACCTAATGCGACAGTCCTGTGAATTCCACACATCTGTTTTGAGAGGCTGCTGGTTAGATGCACTTAGAGCGAGCACGGTGCCTTTGAGAAGAGAGAGAAAACTTCAGCTTCCACCTAATGAGTGAAGCACCCATAAATAAAAATGCCATTTCCCCCGAAAGGAAAACCAAATTATGAATTCAGAAATTCATAGTCATCCAGTTTTATTGTTGCCTAATGCTTTTTAGATCTGCGCAGGCCCTGCAGAAAATCAACTCTGAAACTGCATAATTAGGACATCTTTCATAGTCATAAATGCTAATCCCATTGGAGAACAGATTAAGAATTCACAGGCATGGATTTCTGGCATCAGGTACCTGCAGTTCCTTTTCTTTTTGAATAATTCATTATTTAAATACTTCACTGCGCATCCTATGCAGCCCTGCATGTTGTATCAGGGGCAAGGGAGAAATAAGAGATTAATTTCACATATATTTCAACACTAAACACATTCAAACCTCATTTATGTTGATTTGGTGTCATTGGATAGCAATTGCTAACAAGATTACAGTTTTAGTCAGCCACCCTAGGGACCAATTTAGGGAAATTAAATAGAATTTCTGCAGGACATTAATAAGGTCAGAGACCTAACTTTTATAGTTGACTATTTGGTGTAAGAAAAAAACAGCAAAGAATTCAGAAAGTTGTTTTCTGTGGAGTGATGATTATTTGCAGTAAATATGGTTTCGGTTAGTGCTTCCCCATTTTTGGCCCTGTGCTTTGCAATGAAATGTGTGAACAGAGAGTGAAAAGTGACACCCTGCAGGTGACTTTTGTCCAGCCACAGGGGCCTGGCAGCACACCCCTTATCCTTCAAGACTCCGTGTGCTATCTTTTCCTGCACGATGGTTTCTCGAGGTCGGCATCAGCTTGGTGCAAACCTCCATCATAGAAAGCACTCACTGGGCTGTGAGGAGCTGCTTGTCCAAGTGTCTGTCCCACTGCTGAGTGGCGAACACCTCGCAAGAATGGTGTGAGTTTCATCTGTGTGTCTGGCAATGCCTGGCGCACACAAGTATTTTATATGTGTTTGTTTAATACACAACTTAATTTTCAAGGACTTAGTCCAAACTCTGTTGGTTGCAAGTGACAGAAACTCAATTCAAATAGCTTAAGCCTACAGGAGAACGTAGTAGGAAGAGACTAGAGTCTCTCGTTGAACCCATAGGTGGGAACCAGGGCTCCAGAGCCATCAGGATGCTCCCAGTGCCAGTCTCTGTGACAGCTGCCCCCTCCACCAACGGTGCCCCGCGTGCGCCATCTTGTCTCTCCGCCACCACTCTTGCTCAGTCCCAGGGCCCGAGGTTCTCCAGGAGGGACTCTGACTGGCCCTGTTCCGGCTGGGTGCACACCTCGGAGTGAGCCAACTGAGGTCAGAGACAAGGTGTTCTTGTAAGAGAGGCCAGCTCCCATGGGGTGGAGGTTGGGGGGAGAATTCACAGAACAGCATTCAGTGTCCTTGGGTAATACAGGCTCAGGAGATGGCATCACAGTGTCTGAAGTCATTCTCTTGTGATGGTAGATGTGACTGGCTTTCTGTCTTTGGGTGAGAATTAGCTTAATGTGGCTTCATGCCTAGTACTTCCTCCTTCCACTGGGTTTTTGTTTTGTTTTGTTTTGTTTGTATCTGGCATTAAAATAATTTTTAAATAGATACGTGCATTTGAATAGTTTTTAAAAAGATACACTTTATAACTGTTCCACATACTCTTGACTACCTAGCACAGTGTCACACCGGTCGGCCCTGGGGGTGCTGTCTCCATGCTGCACCTGAGTGCATGAAGGCAGGCCCCCACCCCCGTTCTGGGCCCCTCTGCATGGGGGAGGGAGTCCTAGCATTCAGGTCTCAGGTGTCCAGTTCAGTTCCTGTTTCCCCTGAACAGTGTTCCTGCCTTATAAAATAATGTGTCAGGGAGCTGACTGCTATAAGAGTGCTTGCCCTTTCAGGGTGACTGCAGCTGGTGTTTGTTGAGCACATGTCCAGCGCTGGTCTGTCCCAAGCCCTTTACGTGTTCCAGCTCCTTCCATCTTCCCAGACGAGAGGCAAGGTCCTGTTGTCATCCTCTTAAACAGATGGGGACACTGAGGCAGAGGGTGGTTTGCAGTTCACCCGAGATTGCAGGGCCAGCACTGTGAGTGCCCAAGGGAGCTGGGACTTTTGACTTGGAGGCTGAGCTTGGGCGGTGCAGTGACTGGACTATGGGGGGTGGGGGGGCCCCGCTGAGAATGAGGAGTGCTGGTTGCAAGGTTGGACAGGGGGTGTGAGCCTGCCCTCGAGCCCTCCTCAGCGGCCCAGTCAGGAGGAGGCTTCCATCCGCAAATGGTCTGCTGCCTTTCCTGGGGAGGCCTGCCCTGGGCAGGGGGCTGCTCTCTGCTCCGTCCACATACAGCCTGGATCAACAGGCCCAACACGGAGCAGCCAGGGGCTTGGTGGCAAAGGAACTGAAGGCTGACGGGAAGGGGCTTGTCTGTAATCACATGCTAGTTTGGGGGCCTGCCCCCCAGCTGCGCTCTTTCCTTCCCCCTGGGCCTCTGCGTCCTGCTCCTCGTGATGCGGGATTGGATCTGACAGTCCTGAGGTTTCCTTCCGGGGCTAAGGTCCAAGAATTAAGGTCACACTACTGCTTTCTCTTGTGGCTGCCAGGGCTGGTTGGAGCCCAGATCCTGCCTGTGGCCTTGGGGGAGAGAAGAGCCACCTACAGCCTCAGTGGCCTTCGGAGTCTGCACAGCCGCTGTGGCTGATGCTGCCCATGGCACGTGGCTGCCACCAGCGGTCAGCCAACAATCAGGGAACCTTTCACTGCTGGTCTCAATGCGGTGGGATGGGCTGTTCCATGGGCCCTGCATTTCACACCGTCCTTTGGTGTGCTGTGCTGATCAGAAAGACCCTCCCTCCCTCCCTCCTTCCTTCCTTGAAGGAACTGCTGGGTGGAGACAGGCATCAGCAGGAGCTGGTTCAAATGGTGACTGTCTGGACATAGGGAATGGCCTTCACAGCCCCCAAAGAGCCAAGTGGTTACTCTCTTCCCTTGCTGTCCTTGTTTAATTTTATTTCTTTACTGCTCAGATTTCTTCCCTGCGGTCTTTATCATGGAGCTTCCAAATTGAAGATGGTGCTCCATGGTGCAACTCACTGGGGAGTGTCCAGCATGGCTCTCAGGCTTGAATCTTGGTGTGTTGCCCTTCCCATGGGAACCATGCTGCCATCAGTTGGGTCTTGACAATGTCCTTGACATCCTGGGAGAACCACAGGGAGAACCGACAGTGTTCTACTTAAGGAACAGCAAGCCCCACATCACTGTGGATCACAGAGAATGACTATGGGTCTCATGTCTGAACACTCAAATGAGAATATTGGCCTAAATTATCTCTGAAGTCTTTCCCTCTCCTTTGTTTTCGTTCTCAGCTTCAACATTCCCATTGCCTCAAAAGGTGGAATTCAACATTCCCAGTCTAAGTCTTAGCTGCTGTCTACAGCAGGAGGGGGTGGTTCTGGGCCAGGGACCATGGTTCTGTTTCGCATTAGAGTTCCTCATTTAGCCTCCCTCCCGTAGCTTTCGAGTGGGGCGGGAGGATTGTTCAAGGGGCATCTGTGCTGAAAGCCAAGAGGGAGTCATCCGCAGAGGAGAGTGCTGTGTGAGGACTCAGAACACGGCCACCGTGCTTGTCATCAGCTTTCTCCTGGCCCAACCCTTGATCCAAGGCTTGTAATTTTCACCCTCTAAATTACTGGGTTAACAGAAATGGTACCAAAATGTGAAATGAAATGAATAGGAGCACATCATGCACCTGCATTTCCAAATGATTCGCAAGCCAGTGAGTCTCAGCATCGTGTACATCCCCACTACATTATGAGCATCAGGAGAACTGTGGGAATTAACTTGGGCAGAAAACATGCAACCATACTTTGGAAATGATGCCTATGTGACCGTGTGACACACGGCTCTTTCCTCACTATTTCGCTTACCTGGTCTTCCCGACGTCCTTGTGAGTGGCAGGTATAATTATTCCAATTTTCCTCATGGGAGACTGAGGCTCAGGGTGGTGATGGGACTTGGCATGGTTGGCTTGAGACCAGAGCCGTCACTAAGCTAGTGTGCCCCCCCCACCCCCACCCCTTGGACACAGCCCTTCCCAGCAGAGCCCTGCTTTCCATGCCTGCTTGCAGCCAGCATGTCTTTTGTGCCGGGCTCTCTTCTTCACTTGAATGTGTTTCTTATCTTCTCCAAGGCTGAGGTCACTCTTTGTGTCGGCGGGAGTCTGCACTCACTCCTTTCAGTCCTGTCAAGAAAAAGCAGGAATTCTAAAACCCACAGGCAGTGATCACTCCTGGCTCCTTTGTACAGCCCAGTAAATAATTCATCTGGATTTGAGGGGTCTGACACTGAGAACGTATTGACCCTCGCTGTCACCGGCAAACCCTGCATGCAGAACTTGAATACAGCGGGAAAGAGAAATGTGTCTTTGAAATCAGAGATGACTTCAAGTGACCTGAGAACACAGGTAGAAGCGCTGGGGACGGATGGACAGCTGCCAGACAGAGTATTTTTAAGGCACGTAAAGGTCATCCCTGAGGTTTCCATATACACATCCTGCCCGCCTGGCCGCTGGGATCCGGGAAAACCAGCTCTGGACTTGGAAACTACCAGGCAAGGTCCTAGCTAGGGCCCTTCCCAAGTCCCTCCTGCTGTACTCAATACCTGGATTAAACAAAGAAAATTGTGTCTGCCCGGCTCTCTAAAGTCACAAGATTCCGAGGATCATGCGGCACTCCGGCATTCTTACAAAAACTCATCTGGAGGGGTGCACTTCCCGCCACACGAAAACAGCTGTGCACCGGACTTTCCAGATAAAAACATTTAGCACCGAGTTGAAAAACCATGTGATGGTCATGGATTTCGTGAAGAGTAACTGGTTCCCCTCCCAGAGAAGAGCCAAAGTTTGCATCATCCATATGTGTCAAGGCCTGAAGACAGCTGAGCAGCCAGCCAGCCGATACGAGGTATGGCCGAGCCCGGGTGGGAAACAGTGGGCACATAACCTAATTGGGAGAAACAGAGGTACTCCTCATCAGACAGACCGTTCAGGTGTTTTATCCGGTCTAATAAATTACTGATCTGTTTGTAGTGTTCCCCCAACAAATTTGGAAAGGACGTTTTCATCTCTTCTCTCAGTTTTTGAAATAAGGGAAGGGGGAAACCTATCGGATGAATGTCATTTAAACGAGACACCCATCTGCGGTGCAAACATTTAATAGTGACTACCCAGTTAATTTGTATCCACAGTTAGAAACGGCAGGATGTTTCTGCCAGTTAAATCTTCCTAGCTCTGTAAGTTTGTAATCATCTGTCTTTAAAAAACAAATTCCCATTTGTTTCCTGACGTGTTCTGTAGAAAAATTATCTATGACTTGCCTTGATCGAATTAAAATAAGCGAGGCCTGTAAGAATGGCCTTTTCTTTATTGCGAGTGAGTTCTAATTTTTAAACAGAAGCTACTTTGTGGGGGGAGAAAAGGGGAGAACTTTGGAGTTTAGAATGTCAAAGTGAGATAAACACATCACTCAGACATATTTGTATTCTGCAACTAGTCTTAGCCACAAGCAGTTCTCTTTCAGAGAGTAAACATGCATGCAATCTGATCAGCTCTTTATTGTACATGGAATAAATTATGAATGTCATTGTAATTGACTCCTATATAGCTCACTTACCTATCGCTTTTGAAAAATATAACGTGTAAATTACCAATGTTTTTGAAATGGTAACCTTTCTGAATGTTGATGCTGTTGTTAGGACCTTTGCATGAATGTTGGCAAAGACTCCAGATCTTTTGTTCCCCACCCTGGGCTTCCTTATTCCAGGACAGTGTGAGAACCTGTTCTGCAGGGTTCAAGGCTGGATTCTTCCAGTTCCAGCCCTGGGACTGTGAATTTCCATGTTCACAACAGAGATATAAAGGCCACAGGAATAATGGTGTTAATTAAATTCAGTAATAATTGTTCATTAGTTCATTGCCCAATCAACCAGAGCAAAAGGTGTGCAATTAGAATATAATTGAAAGAAACCAGAGATATTATTCACAAGTAATTAATCGGATGGGGACAGAATTTTATCATTGTATAATTTCCATTCAGGTTAGTTTTCGATCCTCCCGAGAGAGAAAAACTTGTTGAATTATACCATCTTGCATTTTACAGAAGTGTTCATGGCTCCAGTTTAAACCTTAAATGACAAAGAGCAGCTCTTGTGTCCCCCCCCCCTTTTTTTATGAATAAAACTTCATTTATTCCTATAGCAACACTGAAGGTGGCATTGTGGAAAAGTGCATCTTTGCAGGAGATTGTCAAAAACTTTAAGTAAGCTGATAGTCACAGCTGCCACTATTTTTGTGTGTGGCCCCGTCTCCCAATTACCAGTTACAATCAACAAGGGGAAGTTGGGTCCCTGCTGCTTGATAGTAGTCTTAATTCTAACTAGAGTCTTCATTCTTATGTTAAAATGCATCTGAGAGCCTCCCACGGCAGTCAGGCCCTCAGCTGGACAGTCCTCACGGTGTCTGTGATCTGGGAAGTGGTCTAGGCAGGGCCCACTTTGCTCAAGGGCAGGCCAAGTTTGAAAACCAACATGGATCTGTGCCTCCTGTCCTTCTTACTTCTGAGCTCCGCTCTTTTAGAAGCAAACATTTCAGAATTTAAAATATTCCATATCCATTGAGCTGTTCATATTATTCCCACTGGGGCATGTCAGCACCATTTAGATTAGGAATTCCAGGAAGAAGTCAACTCCCCTGCTCAATTTCCAAGCTGAACTGATGATAGAGCCCAATTAACAGCCTCGGGGGCCCCGTTAGACTTGGCCCTGGTGATTCCTTTTCTCTCACTAGCTCCAAGACCATGGGTTAACCTGCCTGGGCTGTAACCATAAAGTACCTGATGGGGTGAGAAATGAACAAGGTCAGTAAAGTGAACTCTCAGTGCACAAAGGTACTAAGTTCAAGAAACTAGCTGGTTTCTCCAGTGAAAGTGAGTTTTGGAAATTTTGTTTCTTGTAAAAACCTTATGGATTTCAAGTCCCTACCATGAGGACCTACAAATCCACTTGAGTTGTTTAATGTCTAAAACTGGCATTTCTCTAAAACTGTGGCCTTAGTCCTGGGCTGTGTTATCGCTTGGAGGAGGTACCTCTCATCTGACATAAGCGTCCCTAACTCTGTCTCAGGGATGGTCCAACCACACTCATTCCCTCACTTAAATTGCCTTTTAATAGGAAGGAATGTCAGACCTTTAAAAGGACAGCAGACCTGTTGTCTGAAATATAAGTAGGATGGGAGGCAGATGGTGGCTAGGGTGCTGAAGATCCTTGTTTGCAAAGCCTTGATTCCTGCTGACTCTAAACTGCCCCAAACTATTAAAAACACAGTATGTGAAGGGCCTTTCTTTCCCCGTGTAGATATCTGATAAACTTCAGACATAAAAATAGCCAGAATCAAGTAATGGGTCTTGGTTTGAGTTCTGGCTGCTGTCCACATTGCAAGCATGGCCAGCCACATCCCTAGAGTCCTTCTAAAGCTGAGCAGGATGGTTTCCACCTCAGGGAGGGAAACCACGTGGAGTTCAGAGATGTGCCTGTATCTCTCAGGGTGTGAATATGAGCCAGCATCTCCTAATTGATTGTTGAGAACTTTCGGATGATAAGCACAGGCTGGGGCATGCAAGTCAAATCTCATCCATGTTTCTAATACATTTAATCATTAGATGAGCCAGAGAAAGTTTCTGTATGTGATAATCATCCTGTGGCCATGCTTTTTAAGATTTTCTAAAACTTCTGTCATTTTTACCTTTCCTTTCTACTCATCTTTTTTTTTTTTTTTTTTTTTGGATTTGGCAGTGATGCTTAATTCTCCCTGACTATAAGAATCATGGCAAACTGTTATTTTTTATCTTTCTGATATGCAAAAATTGCACATATTTAATGTATACATTTTGATGAGTTTGGACATATGCACATACCCACTGATACAATCACCACAGTCAAGGTTCTTCACGTATCCATCACCTCTAAACATTTCCTGTGTTCTGTGCATGTTACTCTTTTGTTTGTTTTTTGTTGGTAAGAACACTTAACATGAGGTCTGTTCTCTTAACATACTTTTTTTTTTTTTTTTAAGATTTTATTTTATTTGAGAGAGAGAGAAACAGCATGAGAGAGGGGAGGGTCAGAGAGAGCAGCAGGCTCCCCGCCCAGCCAGGAGCCCGGTGTGGAACTTGATCCCAGGACTCCGGGATCATGACCTGAGCCGAAGGCAGTCGCTCAACCAACTGTGCCACCCAGGCACCCCCTCTTAACATACTTTTAAAGTGTGTAATCTTATGGTGTATTGTATGGCAGAGCTTGGACTTGTTAATCTTACGTAACTGCAGCTTTATACCCGCTGAGCAGCACTTCCCCATTTCTCCTTCCCCAGCACCTGGCAACCACCGTTGTATTTTTTGCTTCTATGATTTTGACTAGCTTAGCTACCCCATATAAGTGGAATCATGCAATGTTTGTCCTTTTATGATAGGTTTATTCCACTGAATGTAATGTCCTCCTGCTTCATCCTTATTGTCACAAATGGTAGTATTTTCTTCATTTTTAAGCCTGAATAATATTCCATTCCATGTATATACTACGTTTAAAAAAATCTGTTCCTCTGTCAATGGACATTTGGGTTGTTTCCTTATGGTGAACTTTTGGTGAACGTATGCCTACAGCCCAGCCAGGGCTGTTGGGACCCAGAACAGATGTGTGATTTTGTTGTATTCATTTAAAGAGCATTGAGCTTTGTTCTGACATGAGGGGAAGTTACTGAAAACAGTCTGATCCTTTTGAGGCTGACTTTTCAGCACACTATAGTCTAGGGTATTGGTCCCCAATAAATGATGATTTCGGCCCCAGATGGTATTTGGTAAAGTCTGGAGACATTTTGGTTGTGACAGTTTGGGGAAGATGTTACTGGTCCCTGCTGAGGAGAGGCCAGGGATGCTGGTAAATATACTAGTGTGTTCAGGGCAGTCTTCTGCCACCACTAACAATTACCCAGCCTGAAATGTTCACCATGTGGAGGCTGAGAAGGCCTGGTCTAGGGCTAATTTAGCCCCACTGTAGAGGCATGACCCTTGCGAGGACTCTACTTAATGCCCCACGTATGCGTGATCTTTTCACCAGGGCCCAGATGTGTCTGACCTACTACTTTCTGATAGTTCTTTCTCTGGTTTTATGCAGTTTTCTCTTAAGCATGTGAAAATCAGTTTTCAGCTGAAGACTGGAGGGACCCATTGCTGGTTGCTAGAACTCTTTTTCCTTGTAGTTCACTCCTCTTCAGTAGTTAGCCCCAAATTCTAGCTGTCTCAGTTTCTCTGAGTCCTGATCTTTGCCTCCTCTGCTCAGTGAGACATGAGGCTCTCTCGAGCTTCCCCTTTGTGCTCTGCAGCCTGGAAACTGCCTCTAGGTGGGGACAATTGTAGGGCTCCCTTCTCTCATGCCCCCTCCATCCAGGATCGCAGACCCCCGTTGCTTTCCATCTGGTGTCTGGACACCATTGCTTCCTAGCTTTCATCTGTCTGCTCCATCGTAGCTGGAAGGAGAAGTGCCTCCCTGGGTGGGTTTGATGTCCCACCAGGTGGAGAGATGCCACTTTGAGCTTTACTGGATGTCTTCCTGTGGTGGGGGTGAGCCCTTAGGTCATACGAAATGAAAGTACTCAGGTGTTAAGTGCTTGGGCTTTGAGATAACTTTATTTGGGGAATGAGGAAGTCAATGAGACAAAACAGGAAGTAAAACAAATGTTCCCTTTCTTCTCACAGTTATCAAAAGATGCAGGGTGATTTACCCATTTCCAAACCAAGCTGGAGAGGTGTAGCCAGATCAGTCTTCACTGTCTCCTGTTTCTTCCTGAAGTCTTCGTGTCCACTCGAGGCTTTTGCCAGATAAGCTGGGGGCTCCGGTTGCCGTGAAGGCAGCG